TCTATTATCACAGTGAAAAGAAAAAGACTCTAAATATTTTCATTTGAAAAAAAAAAAGTTCTAAAATTCCCAGCACCCCTCTACCTTGCGCATGTGTAGTCCTAGCAACATAGCAAAATTTCTTCTGAAGGACGAAACGCGTCACAAGTAAATTTTTCCGACTTTGTCATAAAATTTTCTCAATATTTATATATATTGTACGGAAGACGTGACATTTTTAACTTCCAGTAACATTCATCAGCTTTATTTGTTGACAAAGCTATGGCAGAGAAAGAACAGCGTTTCTTCATTTCCAATGGTTTACCCTCTGGATGTCATCGATAATGGTAAGCGGAAGAAATAAATCTCATTAAACGACAATTCTCAAGGGGTGCGTTCATCGAAGAATCAATATAAAATATTTTCCACTTGGCATCGACAATTGTGCATTTTTTCATTGTTTACCAAAAAGGAAAATTCTTGTTTTGTTGTTTAATGGGTCCGACATATGAGCACAACAATTTGGAGGGAAAGAATTCTTCAAACATGACAACTGCATTTTATGTGGCTATAATTTGAAAAGCCAGATTTTTCAAAACCACTTTTGACAACATCGCAAATAACAATCTTCATTTCAAATTTTATTGAGATTGGATATTTGTCCATGGTAGAAAGGAATTTCGATTTTCAATTTTATTAGTTTTATTTCAAATGTAATTGATCAGTAGGCAAAGCAACGGATAATATACTTGAGGGTTTTCCCTTGTTCCAAAAACCCTTAGAAAAAAATACTAGAAATTATAAAAGAGAATAATTTAGTAAACGGTCAAACATTTCGAATTCTCCAGATGTCTTTTTGATAAGGGAAAGTTATTCTTTCAATTTATCTGAAAATCTGTGATGCTCTTTAGCAAATTAACTGAGAACTAAACTCTGATTACATACTTGAGCAGTTACTTGATTACCACACTGAACTTTTTAAAATCTTGCAAAAGCACATATAAAAATGTCTTTTTTTTTACATTATTTATATAGCTTTGATTTCGGCAAACATGATCATATGATCACTCTGAAACTAATTTGATTGTTTTTCCTTCCATTTTATATATATATATATATATATATATATATATATATATATATATATATATGTGTGTGTGTGTGTGTGTGTGTCTGTGTGTGTGTGTGTGTGTGTGTGTATTGCGTATTTAGGCAGCACTTCCTCTTTTATACACGTTTCGTTAAAGACGACCTACAAGGTACTGCGATTAAGCTTTTTATTTATTTTTTTGTTTTCGTACAAGTGTTTTCTTTTCTAGACACAAAGTGTGTAAAATCTGTTCAAATGTTCTGCATTTCCGAGCGGTTTCAGCAAAACTTTTCGCCATTAACAAGGATGATTTTATTTTGATCTTTTAACTGAATGCATTGGTTTGTCTCTAGCGTTATAGGGATGTTTTATTTTCCAAACACGGTCAGCACATTGTGGTTGTGTTCGTAGTTAATGTTACTGAGTGTTGGCTTTTTCTTTTTTATTATTAGGACTTTCATTATTTTTAATCTTTTGTTACACGTAGATGAACCTATTATGTTTGTATTTTCTACTAGCTTGTTCCGGATGGAGTCTGTTAGGATTGCGTGTGTGTTTAAATGAGTTCGAATGGAGCCGTGGTCTGGTAGGTGAAACGTAAGTCGTCTGGATAGGCATGTTGTCGTGTGACCGATGTGATTATTCATGATTTGGTTTGATCAGGATCACAGTTCTTTAAGGGGCATTTGAACTCGTAAATAATGTTGGTTATTTGTAGTTTTGATTTTGCTGGTGTGTTGTTATGTTTTAGCGTATGTTTAGCTGTTTTAAATTGTTTGTAATAGATAATTTAATTTTTTTGTTCGTGTCAACTGGGGTAGTGTATATTTTTATGATACTTCTAAGTGAGGATTCCTCTTGTTCATAGTTGACGTGCATTTGGCTTTTCTAGATGATATTTATGTTATTGTTTTTGTCTGTGCGTTCGGTATCGTTATTATTTACCTTGGAAAGAAATAGTCTAATCTCTTGGTCGATGAGGTAGTTCGGAAAAACATTATTAACTACTGTCTGTTTTGCATCGTTGAGTTCTTTAAGGAAAAGTAGACGAGAGGATGAATTCTTATGTGCTCTCTTTAGGAATTTTTTTTTATCATTGCTATTTTGTATCTAAGTGGGCATTCACACTTAAAATTAAGGTGGCAAGTCTTTCTGCTAGTGGGTTTTTATACAATGAGGTGGTTAAAGTTTTGTTACTGTATTCTACGAGAACATCTAAGAATAGGAGTTTATTTTTTATACTTATTTCGTAGGTAAAGTTAAGGACAGAATTTTTTTTTCAAATATGGTTTTGAGATTATCTATTTCATTAGTGTTTTTCGCTAAAATAAAAAATACCAGCATAGCGAACATATATTTTAGTTTTAGTGACCTATTTAAATATCATGTTTTCTACGCGGGACTTGTAGTAATTAGAGTAGCACTGACCGAACGGATCTCCCATACTAACACCGTTAGTATATGTGTAGATGTTGACTTTGGTTGTGCATATATATAATCATTTTTGAGAATATTTGCTTTGATGGATGGAGGTACAATGGAATTATTTGTGTACACGGAGTTAAGGATAATGTCAATGATTTGATCAACGGGGAAGTTTGTGAATAAATTTTCAACGTCGAGTGACGCTAAGATGCCCTGGGTTGGTTTTATACTTTTTAGAATTTGGAGGAATTCGTGGGTGGATGTGGTGCTGTAATTGGTGAGTAGTAGGGGTAATTATGGCATTAAGGAAATGCAGAACATTAAGACACTTTGTACACTTTTTTTCAGAAAAGAAAATACTTGTACAGACACAAGAAATATAAATAAAAAGCTTATCACAGTACCTTGTCAGTCGTCTTTAACATATATATATATATATATATATATATATATATATATATGGAACGTGTTTTGTAGCTTCACAGCAATCAGAATTAGCTTCAAGGTGAGTCACGATGTACTAATAGGTAGCGGCTCCGATTCAGGTGAGTCGAGTTTGAATTCCAGTCATTACGCGAAAAGGTATGAATTCATCTCTTCTTGCCCCCAATCCCCGCGACCTCCCCAGCTATGAGTAAATAGCAGGACAGGCTGGGCCCTATAGCTTTGGATGTTAACCGGTCTAGTAGCAGGACAACACTGAATTAAAAACCTGAGGAGCGTCCGTCGTTTGAGAACATTGCGGCATACTATGTACCCCAGTTCACTTTTATTCCACAGGTCCAAGAAAATGTGATTTTGCACAAGCCTTCAACATTATAATCAAATCATATGTGCGAGTAGTCTTACCGTTCGATTTTAAGAACTAAGAAAATGAGTTACTGTACCCTCATACATCGAAAACAAAATGAGAGTCCAGTATATATATATATATATATATATATATATATATATATATATATATATATATATATATATATATATATTCCTAATATACATTGATTTCGGTCTGTCATGCAGCATTCGGCTTCTGTTCTGGTGATATGGATTGATTTGAGGTTTATATCATTGAGTTCAGTTGCCACTTTTTCATCATACGCCACCGATCTACTTGTCTGTAGGAGGAGATACCCAAAAGCTTTCCTGATCTTACTGGACTCAGTCATGGACTTGCCTCATAATATATATATATATATATATATATATATATATATATATATATATATATATATATGTATGTGTGTGTGTGTGTGTGTGTGTGTGTGTGTGTGTGTGTGTTGGGCGTTGACGTAAAATAAAATTGGCACACGATGCTAATTTTGAAATCGCTCCAATTTTAATGATTTCGTCCATCTTGAGATATACTAACACATTACTATGACTGTGCAACTTGTGGTTAAAAAACCTAAGAAAGCCAGTTTCATGACATGGACACTAATACGGACTTCTTTTATTCAATTAGAGTCGTTTGAAGGAGATCAGATTTTAAGCAGAATGGTAATTTGGGATAATTGCTCCGCACGTTAAATGTGACTTGTCGTTGATGCTTCAGTATTAGCATTAGTGCTAAAATGTAGATTCTTACATCCATTGTTCAGTCTCTGGACGTTTATGTATTAATGGAGTAACGGGTCATAAACAACGATTGCAAAGACAGGCCACTCGACTTCTCGATGCGGCTTAGACTCAATATCACACACATTGTAGTATTGTCTAGTTTTCAAGGCCAGGGTAGGAGGTTACCGGCATCTGGGTATAAAATCTCAAAATGAACAACATTTATTTAGAAATATATGTTATCAATGTGTATCAGAGAAATTAAGATTGATTTACTGGCGAGAATTTCATAAAAGATATGTCAGAAGACTTGAAGGAATTATAATTTGGCGTATCTCTACACCAACATACATATCAGAAGCACCTGGCTTTTACATTTTGCTCTTTGTCATTAGCTAATATGGAGACAAATTTCTAGACGAGCCATTGGAGACATGATTGTAGAAGTGAACACATTTCTTTTTCTTCTGAAATTTTAGACGCCCCGTGAACTCTAGGGCTGCTACAACGACACAATAGGTAATGCAATTATGCTTTTAGTAGAAAGTAAGTTTTCCCGGTTGAAATTGGTACCAATATTTCCAACCAATTCAAATTCAGACTTGTCCTTCTCCTTTTCTGGTTACCAATCAATGCTAGAATACTTAAACGTTCCTGCTATTTTACCCATAGGTAGGGGAAGAAGAATGTATTCATGGCTTTTTCTAGGTATAAACCGAAATTTGAACTGACCTCACCGTTTAACTTTTCATCAACGATTATCGTTAAACTACGTACACATTCAGAAAGCGGCGCAAATATTAATTTTAAAAAAGGGTGCCCCAGGAAACGCTGTAATGGGGTCATACATAATGCGAATAGATTTAATGTTTTCATTTTCTCGGTCGTTGTCTATTCGCTTGTTCTTCCTTGTCATCTCGTTCAGCAACTTCACAAATAGCTTATATTTATGACATTTCTAATTTATTCTCCTTATCTTTGCCCTGTCAGGTGTCGACTTGTCATAATAATTATACTAACGTTGTTTAAATTTGATTTGTTTTCTCATTTTGATATTCTCTCTTTCTCGTTCTATCCGTTATACTCGTTGTCCAGTCTCTCTCTCTCTCTCTCTCTCTTTCTTCAACCTATCTCTCTCTCTTCCTTCAATCTCTTTCTCTTCAATATCTTTCTTTCTTCAATATATCTCTCTTTCTTTCTTTCATTCTTTCTTTCTCAATATCTCTCTCTTTCTATCTCAATTTCTATCTTTCTTCAATTTTTCTCTCTCTTTCTTCAATCTCTTTCTTTCTTCAAGCTCTCTCGCTTTCTCAACATCTCTCTCTTTCTATCTCAGTCTCTCTCCCTTTCTGCAATTTCTCTCTCTTTCTTCAATCTCTTCAATCTCTCTCTCTTTCTCACTTATTTCTTTCTCAATCTCTCTCTCTCTCTTTCTATATCAATCTCACTCTTTCTTTCTTTAATCTCACTCTCTTTCTTAATATCTCTCTCTCTCTCTTTCTTACACATTCTTTCTTATTCCTTTCCTTTTGCTATTTCTTTAGTAAGCACTACTACTCATAGTCATCCTTTAGCTCTCTATATCTTCTTCATTATCTCTCTCATTCTCTCTCACTCTCAGTCTCTTTCCCTCCCTTTCTCTCACTCATTCTCTCTTTCTCAATCTCTCTCTTTATTATGCATACTTTCTCACTCATTCTTTTCCCTTTAGTTATCTCTCTAGCACGCTTTCTTATAATCCGCCATTTTGCATTTTTGTATTTTTCGCCCTCATTCTCTTTGTTTCTCAGCCTCTCATTCTCTCTCTCTTTATTATACATTTTTCTCTCTCATTCTTTTTCTATCTGTCTTTCTTATAGGCTTCCAAAAACTGTTTTATATCTTTCTTTCTTCACTTTCGCTTCCCCTCTCATTCGCTTTCTTTCTCGGTCTCTTTTTATTATGCATTTTTCTCTCTTATTCTTTTTGATCTGGCTGTCTCATCGACTTCCAAAAACTTTTCTGTATTTTTCTTCTCTCTCTCTCTCTCTCTATTTCTCTCACGTGTTTTTCTCTCCTCTCTTTCTCTCTCTCTCTCATTTCCTTTCTTTCTCAGTCTCTCTTTCTCTCTCTTTATTAAGAATTCTTTTTCCCTTATTCTTTTTGATCTAGCTTTCTCATATTCTTCTTCTTCTCCTTCTCTCTCTCTCTCTCTCGCTCTCTCTCATTCTCTTTCCTAGTCTCTCTTTCTCTCTCTTTATTATGCATTTTTCTCTCTTATTCTTTTTCGATCTGGATTTCTTATAGTCTTCCAAAATCTTTTCTGTATATTTCTCTCTCTCTCTCTCTATCTCTCTTTCTCTCTCTCTCTCTCTCTCTCTCATTCTTTATTTCTACCCTTCTCTTGCGTACTTTTTCTCTTTTTAGCTCTCGCAAATGTATTTTTCTCTCCCCACCCCCGCTCTTTCTTTCTCTCTGTTTTGAAGATCAGTGCCGCAATATATTCACTTCTAAATGTATTATCTTTAGAAAAAACAGTAAAGAAGTTTGCTTATTTCCCCCAAACACTTTACCTGCGCCATTGCACCACCCTCAGTGACATGCGTACATTTTTATATTTTCCTCAACGATGAAGGTCGGTAAATCCGTCGAGTGCAATTATATGTTAAATTTTCTAACGCTTTCTCGGGGCATTTGGTAGGTATTCAGTTTTCATCGGATCCTCCAAGGAGTCCGTGACACAAGAATAGTCCACTTCAACTCGTTTCGATCTTAAGTGGAAACTGGCTCCTTGAGCCGATGAGAATGATGCACGATAGACTGATTTCTGCGAGGTCTCGCTAGATTTTTTCACTCATGAAAACCCGACCGCGGCCATGTTTTATATTTTAGACGCGCCTCGGACGTAAAAATAGAAAATTTGGTGCTACTTAAGATGTAAATTCTAAGAAATAATCGTTTCCCTTTTGCAACTAAACGGTAAATCACATTGAATCCTTTAAGAAGGTAAGCAAGCAACGGAAGAAAATGTGTAGAATTCTTTCTCTTCTGATATTCAAAGAAAAGCCCTGCGCGGAAATGCATTCCTCTTTCAAAACAGATGGCTTAGTGGTAGAGCAGGTGACAGTAAACTTAGAAATATAAATTTTGCCTGAACTTTTCATATACGTACCACGGTTGGGATGGAAATGTTTCGAAAGAAATGCTGAAATTTCCTGTGCCAAGATTTAGCATGCATTCCTTTGCTCTTATGTTGTGCTAGACTTTAGCCCCACACTATTTGAATGGACGCTAAACATTCTTCCAAACTCATATACTGAACAGGTAATAAAACTGTATATATCAAGTGTTTATGAAACAGACATATGGTAATACTTCACATAAGCGGCGTAAAATAATATGTCAAAGTTCTGATTCACTTAAATGACGTAAAATAAACTGTCATTTTATATCTTTAAATGTTTTTTCATCGTAAAGATTGCAGTGACTTCTTGGGAAAATATAGTGAAGTGGTTTCCTGTCGCCTTCTCCACAGTTTGGTATTCAAATTTTCTATTATACTGGTTTATACTCAAGGCTAAAAAGTCCACTTTAATATTTAACCCTTGAGTAGGTAGGGGAGAAGAGATGAATTCTTGATTTTCACAAGGGTATTTTCGTGAAAGTGCCCGAATCAGACTAACCAGCAATTTGAACACCGTTCGCCGATTCTATTTTTCACGCCGATATTCGTACATCGTAAATGGCATATAGCGGGCTTTTTTTTTTTAATGCGTACAACAGAGAGATTGGAGATCTCGTGAACGGGAAAGGCACATAAGATTCCTGACAAAATCGAATAGAAAATGAAGTAGATTTTATCACTGGAAAAATGATGACATGAAGTCTTCTTTTAATGTCTTTAAAAAATGTTTGATTAAACCAAATCCGTATATTTTATCCCTGGCTTCTATTACTTATATAAAGGATGCGTGTTCTGGTTTTCGTAAGGCAACACGTTTTTCACTCTCCCCTTCTGGTATTTGTGCTTTGAACCTTATTGAATGCGAAGTATTACAAGAACTGAGACGCATGTTAGTCGGATATAGAATGTGTTGAACTCAGACAAAGCGCAAAACTTTTCTAATGACAACGCGTTTCGTATTCGTTAGGTAGGCGTCTTCAGAATCGAGATGAGAATTGTTACTTGATTTGTTACTTTCTGCAGAGAAAGTGACACCCAATCTTCTACTATTTCATGCGTTCTTTAACGAAATTCTTGAAAATCACTGAACTGCGGTTTCCAGATTTCTGACAAACTCCTATTTGTGCCAATGTAACAACTGGAAATAAATTATTAATCTTGTGAAATTTTCAAGCCATCTTCTCATTTCCGGCTTTGGTCATAATCACGAGACGATCGACGGCACATCTTGAATTTATGAGTCGACGCAGTTCTTAGGCTTCTGCTATCATTATTCAAAGTTATTAAACGATGCTTTATATTTGTTGTCCATTGAGCAGAATACACTAGTCGTATTATGAGACGATATTTGTAGAGTAAAAAAACAGAAAGTCTAAAATCTTATTTTTAAAGAATTCCATAAAGAAAGAATTAGTATGTGTTTCTCTGATGGCATAACCAGAGTCAGAGAGAGAGAGAGAGAAAGAGAGTGAGAGAGAGAAAGAGAGAGAGTGAGAGAGAGAGAAAGAAAGAGAGAGAGTTAGTGAGAGAATACTAATCTTTTTTCGTAATATGTAAAATATATAAAAATTCAGACAAGACGAGCTGAGGTTCGAAAATGAAGACTTTGTTGAGCATCCATTTTTCTTTACAATGAATAAATAATAAATATTCGGCTAGTTACCAACAAGTCTTTAAGAAAATTAATTAAGTCTAATATAAGCATTAAATATTTTCGATGTGTTGTGAAGTTTCCCAGTTGGGAATATTAATCTTACGTTATAAAATTGGTACAGTGGAATAATGGATTGAGGAATCTGAGATCAGTTTTCGAATTTCAGTCGAGTTCGTTACTTTCACTTGGAAAAGACGTTAATCTATCTCTTCTTCCCTAGATATGGGTAAAATAGCAGGACATATTGCCTCCTAAAGTCTTGGTTAGGAGAAGGAGAAATCTGAATTCAAAACCCGATAGCATAATACATAAACCGAGGGCGACCCACAACATATTCCGTGGTCTTCTGATGTTGGTTAAAAGCCAAACTGTCTGAAATCCCACTGAAGCATTCAAGGGTTAAAAAAAAAAGATAAATAAATAAAATCATAACCTTTCTATGTTTGCTCGTATATACTCGCTCGTAAGTTTTGGTCTTCTTTTAAGACAAAATTTTCAAATAGAAAATTATGAGTATATTTATACATTACTCTTACATTTTGGTTGAAATTTGTGCGTGACGCAATGAACTACCAACAACTCTTGTCATCAAACCTAAAAATAATCACTGATTATCAAAAATAATAACAGCGAAACTTGTATTTCAATAATATTTAATCTGACTTGACTAAATCCTTAAGTGGAAATTATCGTAACACTATCGTCATACATTACAGATGAAAAATATTGAATTTCTCATACCTAATATTACTGCTTCTATCACCCTGGCCAGTAGACACGTGCCTTTGGGGCCGCCTCTGAATGTGAACCCCACATTCCAGTGTGAATGTAAAAGACCATGAATTTTGCTTAGAAACACTCTGTGTTTGGGTATTTACATATGTATCTGTCTTACAAATCTTTCTTAAGCGTGCACATTCCAGGCGCAGCTGGGTCAATCACGTGTTTACCAGTTGATGCAGCGACTGACATAAGGTGAAATGGGGATCTCCACCGACTGCTAGTAGCTCATCAACACGCCGATGCACTTGGCTTCTTTGATGGTCTGATATTACACTGGGTGCAAAGTATATTCTGGCAACATTATACAATATATTTGTTAGAATTTGTCTCTTTTTAGCGAAAAGAAGTGTGAAAATAAATGTTAATATCTTGTCTTTGATACTCAGTGCTTTATGTTCACCAAGTTTATGGATGTTTGGGAATTTCTAAGGAAAATTATATCAAATGTATATTATAAACTCTCCCATTATTTATAGTTTTTGTTACCCTTGTTTATCGTCCCATTACATGAAATCGCAGACACAATCATAACGATTTTAAAAAAAAGCCTCGACTTTTACCTTTACAAGATTGATTTATATATGAGTATATGCAGTATGTACAACTCAGTGGCGACTTCGGCAGTCGGACTTAGCTCGAGTGAGTCAACATTCAAGTATATCTATTTCAAAGCAACAAATTTTTGTTAGTAATGCGTCGTTTTCATTCTTGACTTCAGCTGGATCCAAAATTAATTATTTTAACCCCGTGCCTCAAAATATTGACATGGCTAGGGTTGGGTTGTGTAGATATAATCCTTTTCAAGCTGGAGACATACTTGGGTTGTGTATGTATCTAGAGTTATAGGAATGTTTTTTTTTTCCAAACACGGTCAGCACACAACTCAAACATTCAGTTAAAAGTAAAAATAAAATTATCCTTGATAAAGTATGACCGAAAGCGATCGGAAATGAATAGCTTTTGGACAGTTTTTACACATTTTGTGTCCAGAAAAGAAAACGCACGAACACAGGAAAAATTAAATAAAAAGCTTAATCGCAGTACCTTCTCAGTCTTCTTTAATAAAATATTGCTGCCTAAATGCACACACACACACACACACACACACACACACACACACACACACACACACACATATATATATATATATATATATATATATATATATATATACTAACTCAAAACTGAACAAATATATATAGATACAAAGGAATAAAACACTGCATGGGGACTGTCTAAATCTACAACATCTCTATTTGCAATATTGAGCACACTTCCAGAATTAATTCTTTTAACTCCGTGCTTCAAAATATTGACCGATATCGTTGATATTGTTCATAATGAAGAAAAATAAAAGAAGAAAGAAGAAAAAAAAAAGAAAGTAAGTAAAAAATGAATGAAATAAAATTAATGTGGCTAGTCGGGTTGAGTAGGTCTGAACCAGCTCGAAACTGAACACATATTTAATAGGCAATTTATTTCTTGATTTAATTTTATAAATAATCTTTTTAAAATTTCTAATGACTTGTGTGCCCTATTTTCCAAAGAACACATTTCTATTTCAACTTATTGTTTCCCAATGTTCATGTTAAGTAAGTTATTCCGTATTGTATAAATTATCTTTAGTGGAATGTATCTTTTGAGAAAAGGCAAATTAAATCTGGCCCAACCTTCACTTAGGCGAAAATCAAATAAAGTGGCAGCTTTAACTCGTCTACTGGAGTGTTGGGGTGAGGAGAGTGACTGGGGGTAGTGTTGAGGAAATACGATATCAACCAACAGTACTGATCATAAACACGTACAATAAATTAAACTAAAAATTTACAGACACATAAACACACTAATGCAAAAACATATATACAAATACAATTTAAAAAAAAAACATACCTAGCTTTGTCTTCAGTCTTTTTTTCTTACATGTCTGGAAAAATCTTTTAAAATAAATTTTTATTCTTATAGAATTATTACAATCAATATT